CAACTAATGCTGCCGGAAATTGAAGGCTTGGGGTCTTGCTGCTGTTGCTGCTGCTGCTGCTGATTTTTTAAGTATATATTTATGTGTTAGTGTGCAGCAGCTAGCGTGCGGCAGCCAGCGTGTGTTGCAGATGAGCATTTGGACGGCATTTACAAGAAATTGTCGGCAATAATAGGTGAAAAAAAGTAGAGAAACATTAAGACTTTGGTAGTAAATAGAATTCGTATTTATTTAGCATTATATTTTATTAAAACGCTCCAAGTGCCTGTGCTGCTACTGCTACTGCTAGTGCGGTTGCTGCTGCTGCTGCTGCTGCTGCTGCTGCTGCTGCTGCTGCTGCTACTACTACTACTACTACTACTACTACTACTACTACTACTACTACTACTGCTGCTGCTGATGCTGCTGCTGCTGCTGCTACTGCTGTTGCTGTTGCTAATGTTGCTAATGCGGTTACAGCTGCTGTTGCTGCATACACACGCACGCACGCACGCACTCACGCACGCACGCACTCACGCACTCGGATTCACAGCGTGCGCTGCTCCACACCGATGACCCGGAGAAGGAACATTAGGCCAATGACGCACGCGCGCGTGCTCTCCGCTAAACGCTCACCGCATTCTTCCGTGAGCGAGAGGTTGGCTTAGAATCGCTGCAAGAGTCGCGCGAGATATGTGTATGCTTTAGATTAACCGCGCAGTCGATGCGTTAGTATTGCACTGTTAGCGCGAGTATTTTCTCAAGTGCGCCTTTGCGCCGCGGAGACGCGCCTATAAACTCGAACCTGTTTTCTTTAAACCAGCTGGATTCGATTTCTCGTTCCAATCCGTGCCGTCAATCACGATTGGGGACGTTTTTTTTATCGATTATCATCGACGTAACATATATATTTGTTTGCGCACCTACGGTGCATCGGCCTGGATGTAACTGCAGCGAAGATAACACGTAACTAAGATACTTTGCTGATACTGAGTTTTAACGATGCCATGTCTTACATCTCATCTAGGCTGTGGTGGGAATTCCAAACCTGTAAGCACCGTACGTAGGCGTGGTTACGAAGCATCGCCACCCTGGGTCCGCTAGGGTGGTCACTGCGATTGGCTCGGTGTGAAGGCAAAGATTCTCAGCATGCGCGTGAGTCGCAATTTAGCAGTTGAAGTTCTGCAGGTCTCTGACACGCTATCACCGAGGTTGCTTGGTTGCGAAACAATATTATATATATATTTACATATATATTTATATAATTATATATATATATATATATATATATATATATATA